CGTCCAAAATAATGCATAAGCTGAACAACGTCAGGATGGCACTGTTTGTCAGCGTCTTTGATAGATGATCCTTTTAAAATGTCCTGACATGTGTGTGAAAACAGCTTGGTTACTTGGTTAGTCAAAGCTGAGGCGGTGGTATGCTTTTAGTGCTCTTTGTCTGTCTGTCAGCAAGATTATGCAAACACCACAAAGCCAGATGTCAAGAAACCTGGTGCAATGATGCTCCTGTTCCGTATTAGGATTATTGGAGGTGGATTTTCAAATAATCTGGTTGCAAAATTAAATACCATAAGCCAAAGAAGCCATGCCAGCATCTTCAGCTTGCTTCCTTAATTCATTGCCCTCATTGAAGTTCAAATGGTTGTCTAAAGGGATGAAATGCATGGGAATCACATTAAATCCCAATATTTCAGAGATCATTGCCACTAATTTAGAAATTCTATTAGATAAAATCAAAAGTTAATTTGGATAATCAGAGCAGGATACAACTCACACTGTGGGGAAGGTAAACACAGTAAAGATGATTATGGCCCCACAGATCAATTATACAACTGGCATGGATCCACTGTGTATTCTGCAGCAGTTTTTATTTGGATATAATAATACGATCAAACAGTTTATTTGGAGTGGAGGAAACTCTGGACAAAATTAGCACGTCTATCACTGCCACACATGTGTAGGATCCTACAGCACGTCATTGAAATGGCAGAGCTGGCCAAACACTGGACTGGGAAAAAGAGAACTTCCTTCTCCCTTTACTCCTTTATAAGTATAAACTCAAGCTATGAAGCAGGAGAAAACCTAAGTTTATGACAATGTGAACAAATATAATGTATAAAAATGTAGAATCTCTCCTCTATATGGTTTAATACCAAAATAAGAATTGGTATAAACAGACTATTTGTGGGGCTCAGTGGTTAAAAATTGTGTCAAAACTGATGGTTTCTTCAAAGAAGGTGATTTTATTTTATTTATTACACTCAAGGAAAAACAGAATCTGGTGGGATCTGGTAATTTTTGGAAACACCAACAAATAAGGGATTATATAAGAAGAAATATCCAGCTGCATCGAGGAACTATCCCAATGCTGTGTCATTTACAACTTCCAACAATACACCACAAAGCATCCTCATGGTATGAAAGGTGCCCCTGGACAAACAGGAACATCAGCAGTCTCAGGATAACCTGGGGGGAAAAATCCCTTCAAGTTCCATGATGAGTCATCGGAGAACATTATTTCCAAAAGCCGGAAATTTGCCAGGGAAGAGGCGAATTTATTTAATACAAAATAGTTGATATTACTATCCTCCTTCCCTTACATAAAATGGGTTTGATTAAAGATGGTTTATGCTGGAAATGAAGGACTGAAAGAGGCACTTATGTGCATGCATTTTGGGAATGCTGCAAAGTATTTCCTTTTTGGAGAAGATGTTTGGGATTGTATGGACCACCAATGTCAGCAAGGCTCTGGGGTGCCTTACTGCAGCTGAATAGGTTTGTTGTGAGAGCATTAATGGTGTGTTTTGTAACTTGTGCCA